ATTTTGTCATTTAAGAGTTCAACAGTTAGCATCACGAGGGGAGTTTCCTTCCAGTAGGAACGGGTCTAAGGCCACAATGTCGATCCGTTTAACTAGTAGTAGTTTTTGGACTTCGGTCCGATGCAGTAGTTAGAATGTTTGATGCCTTCGTGGCTTAGACATGGTTTATGTGTTATGTGATCCGGGCCGCAGTATGCAGTTTATGTGTTCATGTTAGTTTATATGTTTATGCTATGCTATGTCATGCTCAGTTAGTTTCTGGACTTCGGTCCGATGCAGTTAGTTCCGGACTTCGGTCCGATGCAGGGGACAAGGTCCCAGTCAGGTCCGGACTTCGGTCCGATGCAGTTAGTCCCGGACTTCAGTCCGATGCAGTTAGTCCCGGACTTCGGTCCGATGCAGAGGGCAAGGCCCTGGTTAGTTCCTGACTTCAGTCCAATGTAGTTTCCGGACTTCGGTCCGATGCAGAGGGCAAGACCCTGGTTAGTTCCGAACTTCGGTCTGATGCAGTTTCCGGACTCCGGTCCGATGCAGTGGGCAAGGCCTAGTATGTGTTATACGTTATTGTATGGTATGTGGTAGTTTGGGGGAGCTCACTAAACTTCGTGTTTACAGTTTCAGTTTTGGTTTTAGGTACTTCCGCAAGTAAATGGAAGAGCTCGGGATGATGGCATTGCACACACCACAACTTCAGTTTGTCCTGGGAGTTGATTTAGCTTTTCATTGATATGTTTTGATTCAGTCTTAATACAATTTTCTTGTGATATGTGTTATGGTTTTGAGATATTGACGTATGAGTTTTATTTTATGGTATTGATATAATGATTTTAGTAATGATTAAACAAAAATTTTTGGATCGTATTTTGGGATGTTACATCTGACCTCCGTATAGCGGGGATAACTTTTCTAGTTATTATTAAAATAATTGTTTCTATCCGTTAGATGCAATTTTTCTATATTATAATGCTAACTATGCATTATGATGTCATATACTCAGGATTATTTAAATAATTTGAAATAAATAATATACCTACGGTGGATAAATTTAATATTTGCCAACTAAAATAAATAACAACTAAAATAAATAATAATTAATAGTCATTTAGCATGTATTGATAAAAAACAAAGTATATAAATATATAATTTTTATTAGATTAAATAGAAATAGTTTATTTAATAAATCCATTTAAATAATTAAGAAATTTATTAATTAATGATTTCGAATATTAAAACTTGTTGTTTAGAAAAGACATGGAAAAGCCGACACAAGAATTTAAGTGTAAAGGTAGTTTTTTTGGCATTTAAGGAAATAAGCAAAACACATTTGAAACCGTAACAATTCATTCTCTAAACCCCCAAATCGACACTCTTTCATCTCCTTGTGGTCGATAGCCACCAAAAAAAACAGCAAGATGAACTTTTTGTGAGTTGGATTGTCCATGGCCAATATCATTCGTACTGAACTTTATGTTGACACCAATAAAAATAATCTAAAGAATTGAGTTAATGGAATATAAACACTTAATTGCTGTAATTCTTGAGCATTATAATTCTATTTGGATATGTTCTTGGGGATTAACATTCTAAATTATAGTTTTATTTTATATAATTGTATGTTGATTGATATACTGTTTTGGGATCACCTAATCCCCGAACAGTGGTATCAAAACCATTTTTAGACTATTTGATCATATTATTTAGATTATTTTTATTGTTCTTGATCGTGTTGTTTGTGTTTTTGGTGATAGTCAAGATAAGTTTAAATTGAAATTTCATTTTTCTTAACATTATAATGATTTAGATAATTTTACTTTTTAAGAAAGCTAATATAGCTATTATTTCACATGCATTATTTAATAACAAAATTGTTAAGTTTATTTGCAATGATGTTTTTATGTTTTTTTGTATTGTTCTTATCAAATTGGAGAAAATTTGGTTGTTTAAATTACTTATTGTTGCTATTGGTTTGAGTTGTATGTAATGATTGCTTGATTTACACCTAACATGTAATAGACATTTTTATTTCATTGTAATTTTGTTTTAGTATTGCATCTAGAAAATGTCATATTCCCTACCTTGCAAGGGATACATGTGTACCTTGCAAGGGATACATGTGAGGTTTGGACGGAAGGGAGCATTACGTAACTATGAAAGTGTAGGGAGCAAACATGCAAATACACAAAAATCATATGGCGAAAGCCATGAACCGTTTCTATAAATATAAAAAAAAATACACGATGATATTTTCTATATATTATTGAGACAATTTTTGTATTAATTTTCCACATAGGGCTCAAAGCTGCCAAAAAACAAAAATCTTAGACATATAAACTGTTTTTGTAAAACTTTGTAGGGATATTTTCTATAAATTATAAAATTATAGAGATTAAATCTGCCAAAAGATTTTGTAGAGACTAAATCTGTCAAAATATAAAACTACTGTTATAGGGACTAAATAAGGTAAAATGTAAAACTTTTGTGTCAAAACTCTAAAAAGGAAAACTTACTATTTCATAAGGATTGAGGAGTTTCTAATACATGGTATAATTGTAAAATTAACGAAATGAGAAAAACTAAAACAAACAGAATCTTTAGTTATGTAGATTGAACAACAAAACGGACCGACAACCATGTCTTAGGCTGGAGAGTGTGGACTGCGGTTTCAACCAACATCCTTGCCACCTAGACCACAAACACCGCTCCTAGGTGCGGTTTCTTGCGATTTTGGCCGCAGTGCGGCTAGAAATAGCCTCACCCTCTTTCTTCTCTCTCTTTATCTATGTGTTTTTCTCTCTCTTCTTCTTTCTCTCACCTCTCTTTTTCTCTACTATGGTTTCCACTCCCTGAGTGTGGTAAAGAACCACACAAAGTGTGGTAATAATGACATGACTCCTATGTGTCAAAAGAGTAAGTACGGTTTCTGCGACACCACTCCTTCCAGCCTTATCAATCCAACAACCTTGGCATCTTTAGTGACCAAAAAAACAATAACCATTGTCAAAGCACAATAAACTTTAAATACTTTGAACAATTTGTAATGATTACTTTGCAATAAAAATTCCACATGATTTTTAGTTATATTTTGTTTTACAATATTTAAGCAGCATTTCAAAATCTTCATAAATTACGAATTAAACAAATATCACAAAGTCATCAATTCTAAGGAAATTGTTACTTTTAATATTTTGTTATAACTTTTCCAATTATTTAGTTATATAGCAACGATTGCCTTGTCTTACTTAAACTTATAAAATCCTTTTCCATTTGACATTTGACAAATACAATCTATTCATTATATTTATGAAAATCAAAATAAACATATATATATATATATATATATATATATATATATATATATATATATATATATATAAAACTATTTTTTTGAACTGTATGTAGAAATTAGCCAGTGGTTGAAAACCGGTACTCATAATTTTATAGCTGAAAATTATAATTTTTATTGGTATAGACATATTCAATAAAAGTAATCGAAAGATTTCGAAAAATATAAAATGGTATAAAATAAAAAATGAAAACTTCAAAAAGCTATCAAAAACTACTTTAAGTAAATTGGATTATGAGTTTTTGGTTTAAAAATAAAATAATTTCGTTCTCCATAATACAACTTTTTTTCTTTCTAATTCTATTTTTCTAAAAAACAAAAAGTTAGAAAAAACTTATTGCCGAAGACACTAGTAACCTTTTATATAATGTGAAATCGGTATCTCATCTTGATGTATTAGCGAAAAAACACATGTCGTAAGAAGAAATGATGAACAATGTTACGAAAGAGGTCCCAACAAATTGACAAATGTATCACACTTTCGAAAAAAAATGAGAGCTTTATTTGATTACGTAGAAAGGATGATTTGCAATTTGCATAAACCCTATCACGTTTATGGTATTTTTATTGTCAATCTTAGAAGATGAGTCTTGCCGAAGCCTAAATAGCAATATAAATTACTATAAAAAGGGAGGAAAGAGAGTCTTTGTGTGTCCCAAGCCGCCTTGTTGGGTAGTCTTCCTTATTTCAACTCTTTCACTTTCCCCTTTCTCTTTCTCTTTATCCGATTGTTTATGCACCCACGAAACCCTCCATCTCAAACACCCAAAATGGCTTGACTGCACTCCACGATTCGCCGCCGTTGGTCGCCGTCGCCAACCGTCGCCTGTGAGTTTACCCATTGCCTTCTCTTTTCTTACGTCACTCGTACTTTAATTATCAGATCCAGTTACTTTTCTTTTTACCATTTTGCTTGATGGTAGCTGATAACATGGCTTTGATTTTTCAATTTCTGTTCAAATTAGCTTCTGAATTTTGGTTTCTTGTATGGTTCATCGGTTATTAATGGTAATTTGTGCTGGTTTGGGTTGGATTGATTTGATCTAGCAGCTGTCACATACCCCACAAAGTTAATAACTCATCTACTAGTTTCAATAATGTTCTATAACATTTTAATTGGGTTGTTGATAACGATTGAAGAGTTATTTGTTTGGTTAGTAAAGTGATTGAGTTGCATGGTTAACATCATTTTGATTTTGGGTTATTGTTGGCGTTAATTAGGGTTTAATTAAGTGCTTCTATTTCTAACAAATGTCTCGTAAGCTCATGATCAGAAGACTCTGACTGTTTGTCTTTGTTTTGGCACTATAAAATATAACATATGACAGACATAGACCTAAAGTTTGTTCTTTGATTTGAGTTCTGATGCTTAAATTAGGGATTGCTAAATAGGGGCTCAATAATTAGGGATAACTGAACAAATGAAAGTAGACATAGACCTAAAGTATATAACTATTTTAATACATCATTATACTATAAAGTGACTCTAAATCTTAAACTTTATTTTGATCATTTAAGTATTTTTATTTTAACTTGCAATGATTGAATGTACGATGCTATAATTGTTATGTCTTTTGAATCCCATTTGCTATAGCATTAACTATGTTCTTTTTTTTTTTTTTGGTTTAATGAAGAGTTTATAGTACTAAATTCCACCATGGAAGACACACAATCCGTTGCTTCACTCCTACAATCAACAACCTCCAAAATCCAACAACTTCAAAAAGCATTTGCTGAGCTTGAAAGTCATAGAGCAATAACCCTAAACCTAAAATGGAAACAAATCGAAGACCATTTTCATGGGCTTGAAAAATCCCTAAAAAGACGTTTCACAGAACTCGAAGATCAAGAAAACGAATTCAAAATCAAAACAACTCAATCCCAAAAACTTCTAGAAACTCGCCAATCAGCCGTCATAGCCAAAGAAGAAGCTTCCTTACAAAAACTCCAAGAAAAAAGAGACCTTGCAGTTGCCGCCATAACCGGCGGCACTCCCATGGTGGAAGAGAAACCACCACCACCAGCACCACCACCGCCGCCACTCGAGTTAACCCTAACAAACCCTCAACTCGCTAAACTATGCGAAGAGAATGATGTGGCGGGGCTTCATAAGTTCATTTCAGACAACCGGAAAAATCTTGCCACCATAAAAGAGGAGATTCCGGTGGCTTTACAGGTGGCGGATGATCCGGGTGGTTTTGTTTTGGATTCGGTTAGTGGGTTTTACAATTTGGTTGATGGGAAAAAGGATGCGAATCTTTTAGGGCAACGAAGAACGTGTATTATGTTGATGGAGTGTTTGAGTGTTTTGTTGGAGAATGTTGATGGGGTTTATGTTAAAAGGGTAATTTCGGAAAATGTGAAGGAAAGGGCGAAGGTTATAGCTGATGAATGGAAACCGAAATTGGATGATCTTGATTTGGATGCAAGTAATGGGAACTCATTGGAAGCTCATGCTTTTTTGCAACTTGTTGCTACTTTTGGTATTGATTCTTGTTTTCTTAAAGAAGATTTGATAAAATTGGTGCCAATGGTGGCTCGCCGCCACCAAACCGCTGATCTTTGCCGCTTCCTTGGGTTGTCGGAGAAGATGCCAGGTTGAATTTTCTAATTTTTTTTTTTTACTTTTTGTTAATATATTTTGCTTTTTTTATCCCATCATTTGCAAAATTTCTCTTTTTGGCAGTTTTTTTAAAGTTAGAACTTAGAATTAACCTATTTGGAATGCATTTGGTGGTGTTGTTAAAGTTTGAGTAAATTACAATTTTGGTCCCTAAGTATAGCTGATTTTTTCAATTTTGGTCTTTATTTGAGGGTTTTGTTTTTGTAACGTTTTCAGTCTCTATTCAAAGTAAAATGATAATATTTTTGACACCAAAATTGCAAAAATCGTATCTACTCAGAATGAAGAGTTTATAGTAATCAAGTGATTTTGTTTTATTATCTTCAGGTGTAATTGATGTGTTGGTGAATAGTGGAAGGCATATTGATGCTGTTAACTTAGCATTTGCTTTTGAGCTTACAGAGAAATTCTCTCCTGTTTCATTATTGAAATCATACTTAACAGAAGCAAGAAGAGTCCCTTCACTCATCAAATCAGGAAATTTATCTCCTGCACAGGTTCCTTACTACATAATTTGCTAATTACATTTTTGGTCCTTGAGTATGATTTTTTCATATTTGGTCCCAAACTTCATTTGAGGTTCTTCTAATGTTTTTGGTCCCCATTCCAAGAAAACGATTATATTTTTTGGGACCAAAGTTGTAAAAATCAACTATACTCAAACAAGGACTAAAATTGCAAGATTTAACTTTTGGGTACCAAAATTGCAATTATCAGCTGTACGCCTGTACTCATGTCTCAGGGACCAAAAATGAAAAATGTATCTCTACTCTTAAGTCTTAACATCCATATGAAAATTTGAAATTGTAGAATGATGTAAGCGAGCGAGAACTATACGCCCTAAAAACCGTAATAAAATGCATCGAAGAACACAAGCTGGAAGACCAATACCCGGTGGGCCCGCTTCAAAAACGGATACTCCAACTCGAGAAAGCCAAGGCCGACAAAAAACGCGCTACAGAAGTCGCCAAACCACAACCCAAAAGACCCCGAGCCAATGGGATATCTCCGGTATACGCGCCCCCTCCTCGAAACACAAACACAGACAAAAACTTTTATCCTAGAATCACAGAAAGGTATGCACCCGCACCCACACCCAAACCGCAGTCACAGTATGTGTATGACAACAGACCATATGGGTATGCGGTTCAACCCGATACCCACATGGGTGCGTATATGGGTACCCCGGCTTACAATATGGGTCCCAACCATGCCCACTATTTTGCAACCGGGTACCAGTATCAGGCTGCTTATATGCACTAAGGTTGTAGGGAAAGGGAGACTTTGATTTTAACTTGTAGGAGGAGGAAGAGTTAACCTTGTTGAATTAATCACATGTTTTACTTTTACTGTATTAATTAAATTAAGCTTACTATGTTTAGTTCTCAACTTTCTTGTGTTAGGTGACAGACGCTATAAGTGTAATCCTCTAATATATTATGCACTACTTCTGTTCTGTTGTTTACTTACACTTATGTCCGTGTATCTAATTTTTGGTTGGTTACCAGGAGTAGTTCGCTTAGGTATAGCTAGCTCACTACATTGTAACGTATTTCACTTGTATTGGAGTGAGAATCTGAAATTGATGTTAACACGATTGAAATTTTATTTGTCCCAAATTAATACGATACATTGTAGGATTCAAGTAATTCCTATCGGTCTAACTAATTCCTTGAGTAATGAAGTTTTTTCATTTTTTATACTAGTGTAATATTAATTTTGTCCATATAATTATATAATTATTTAGTTATGTAGTTAATCGTTAAAAAATGTATATTGCATCTTCGTTCATAAAAAAGTGTTCATACTTCATACGTATTGGCTTATTTTCCAACGATATCCAGATATTATATCCATCAGTCCAAATAAGTCCAAATAGTTGAATGTTCAAGTTGTATGTGACACTGTTGACATTTAGGAGTATACTAGAAAATTTATGTGTGGCAATTCTAAAAAAAAGCAGATACACACTTTTTGGTATAAGTAGAGTTTGTTCTGCAACGAAACGCCAGAAGCCATACACTTTTAAGAATGTTTTAGCAAAAAATGCTTATACATATAATCATGTAAATTGACAAAAAAGAAAAGAAAAGTATGGTGATGTATATTGTATGAGGAGATTGTGTAGGTTAAAATGAGGAAATTATTGTCATTTTATCTCAAGAAGCTATAAGTTGTTTTTAAAATGTCATGAGAATAACTTTTTTTTTTTTTCTTCCGAAAACTCTTTGTTAGTGTTGGCATAAATCGATTTTAGCAAATAATTTTATAATTACCAAAGTCTTATTTGGGCTTACAACGAGGGAAACAACTAAGAAGTTAATAAAAACTTTCAAAAGTTCCATAGCAATATCTTTTCTTTGTGTTTGATATTAGGTTAATGTTTCATCCATGATACATGGGTTTACCCACTTTTCAATTAGTAATTTAATCCAAATCACAATTTAAAATAAGAGTCCCATAATTAATTGTCATATTGTAATTAGGATTAACTTATTCTAAATTTACTCTTAAATATAAGATATTCTGGAACAATCTTTTATCTGTTTTTCAAAATCTTATTATCATGGATTTATCATTTATGATATAAATCCAAGACAAAACTTCAAAAATAGTTCCTATGGTTTTCGAAAATATCAAGTTTAGTCCCTAAGTTAAAAAAACCTCACAGATGGTTCCTGTGGTTTCAAAACTTTTAACAAATGGTCCTTTTTGCTAATTCCGTTAGCTTTTGGCCGTTAAGTGGAGGGTATTTATGTCATTTCACTAACACATGGACTATTTATGAAGATTTGCCTTATTTTTTTTATAAAAAAAAGAAAAATATAAATATTTAATATTAAAGGGCCCCACACCCTCTCTCTCTCTCTCTCTCATGGTGAAGAAAACTTAATCACCACCACCACCAATGGAAATATGCAAAACCACCACCTGAAATCAACCACTAGTCGACTTTCCTGTCCACCTCTAACAACAGTTATCACTAACCACTGGTAAACCACCAAAACTAACCAACGACATCAAATCTGAATGAAATTCAAATCTTAAATAAAACAAATCAAAACAAAACCTGGAAATCAAACCTTAAACTCAAATTTGAAAATCAGATCAAAACCAAAACCTTAAATTCAAATCTCAACAGTTATCTTGTTTTGAAATGTAAAGAATTAAGGGATTCATTTTGTAATTCACTGTTAGGTGAATAGATCTAGAATCATTTTTAACCGATCGGCTGTTTTGGTAAATCATTTGATTACATCGACTACGATCGATTTATTGTGCGCGAATCGTTGGATCTGAAAACAAATTCTGAACAAAACTGTTACATGCAGATCGGAACATCGCTGGCGTATTTAAAGTGGAGATGATGTCATTCCTGAAGGGGATCGATGTGAACAGGATACCGCCGACGGCGGTTGAGGTGGAGGAGGAGGCCGACGTCTCCTCTCCAAATAGCACCATCTCGAGCATCAGCAGGAAGAGAAGCGAGAGAGATCTTCCTATCAACGAACAGGACGACGAGAGAGCTTCTTCTCGAAGCATGAGCGACGATGAAGACGGCGATAACTCCCGGAAGAAGCTTCGGCTGTCAAAAGACCAATCGACGATACTTGAAGAGAGCTTCAAGGAACACAATACTTGAAGAGAGCTTCATGTGAAATCCTTGTTTTGCTCTTGAAAATGACTTGAAGAAATGTGATTTGGAATCTATCGATCAAAGAATAAGAAATGAACGAGGGAAAAAATGGTTTAGGGGTAATTGAGGTGATGCTTCTTAACAGGAGAGAGAGAGAGAGAGAGAGAGAGAGAGAGAGAGAGAGAGAGAGAGAGAGAGAGAGAGAGAGAGAGAGAGACCCTTTAATATTATATATATATATATATATATATATATATATATATATTTATAAAAAAATAAAGCAAATCTTCATAAATGGTCCCTGTGGCAGTGAAATGACATAAATACCCTCCACTTAACGGCCAAAAAGCTAACGGAGTTAACGAAAATGACAATTTGTTAAAAGTTTTGAAACCACAAGGACCATCTGTGAGGTTTTTTGAACTTAGGGACTAAACTTGATATTTTTAAAAACCACAGGGACCATTTTTGAAGTTTTGTCTAAATCCAAATTGGAATCATAATATATGGAGTAAATTACTAAAATCGTCCCTGTGGTTTCGTCAAAATTGCACGTTTGGTCCCTAGCTTTTTTTTTTGCACTCGTATCGTCCCTATGGTTTGATTTTGTTGCGTTTTTCGTCCCTGTGGTTTAATTTTGTTGCATTTTTCGTCCCTTACATACATAAAGTTAGGGACCAAACATGCAATTTTTACCAAACCATAGGGACAAAAAATGCAACAAAATCAAACAACAGGGACGACCTGAGTGCAAAAAAAAAGTTAGGGATCAAACGTGCAATTTTGACTAAACCACAAAAATGATTTCAGTAATTTACTCTAATATATTATCCCTTAGTAACATAAGGGCTACTAGTGCAAACAAAGAATCTAGAGGAGTCTTTTATGCATGTGCACAAAAATATAGAGGCTATTTTCGTACTTTAGTTGCATTTGAAAAACGACTTCATGAACTACTATTTCTCTCCGCTCAAACTCGGAAGTAATATTGCCGCCAATAATGAGAATCACCGAGATCTCTTCGCCGGATCTCCGGCAGACGCAGACACAGTCGCATTCGCAGGATCCGATATCTGATTTACTCTGCAAACTAGAAGCATTAACAACTGAAATTGAACGTCACTCGCCGGAATCTCCTTTGCCGGAGTCCGTCCCCGCTGCTCTTCGCCACGGACTGACTCAACTAACTTCACTCGCACCGTTCCAGAACTCCGTGAAGCTGCAAATATGGAAGTTGAGTTACCGTTTATGGAACGCATGCGTGGATCTCTTCAACTTTGTCCGATCATCGTCGTCTAAAATTACAGAGGAACACGCCAAACTCCGCCAAGTCTCCGTAGATCTTCTATTCCTCGTCGTTGACGTTTCCGGTGTCCCTTCACCTTATTTCAAGTGCGCTTCGTTCTTCTACAAAACAGGTATAATCTGGCATGAGCTCCATAAGTATGATCTCGCTAGCAATTGCTTCGAGAAAGCGACCGATCTGACGTCAAACGTCGAGATTACGAATGTATCCGATCGTGATGAGCGTAGGCTAATTCTAGATTTAAATATTGCAAGATCAAAAACGGCTTGGGAGGTTTCTGATAGAAATTTGGCGATAAATCTACTAAATAGATCAAAGAGAGCACTGTTCGGAACTGCAGAGAACTACATGGCTTTAGCGAACCAATATACGAATTTCGGAAAATTACTTTTGTCAAAAAACGAAGTCTCCGCCGTAAACGAGGCCCTGAAGTTGATGAGTGAAGCTTTGGAATTGTGTGAGAAAGGGCTACGAAACGTGAAAAAGCCAGACGAAACCCTAGCTTTGAAGGAATTAAGGCTGAAGACACTGAGATTCATGGCAGCATCACATCTGCAGAGAGATGAATTTGAAAACGTTTTGAAGTGTGTGAGAGTTTTGAGAGACGGTGAGAAAGGGGGAGATCATCCGAGCTCAAGCGTCTTAGCAATGAAGGCTTGGTTAGGATTAGGAAGACACGGAGAAGCAGAGAAGGAGCTAAAAGGCATGGTGGTAAATAAGGGGATTCCAGAGGGTGTTTGGGTATCAGCAATGGAGTCATACTTACAGGCAGTAGGCACTTCTGGGGCAGAGACAGCCATGGGTGTGTTTCTTGGATTTCTAGGGAGGGCACACGTCAGTGCTGCCACAGCAATTAGGGTGGTTCAGAGAGTGGTCGGTGATTGTGTAAACGGAGAAGGAGCTAGGGTTAGGGCCAAAGTGGTTGCTGAGTTTGTATCCAATGACAAACTTGTCGCTCTTTTTGCTGGGGATTTGGCTGCAAATCAGAGGTCTGCCATGCATGCTCTTCTTTGGAACTGGTAACTCACTGTTCATTTACTTCTACAGTTTCATAGTTGAAATGATACAAATATCACTGAAAAGTCACAATTCCCCTTCAGTGCAGCAGATTATTTCAGGTCTAAGGATTATGAGGTGAGTGCTGAAATGTTTGAGAAGTCTCTGCTTTATGTCCCTCATGACATAGAGAACAGATCTCTTCGGGCAAAAGGCTACAGAGTACTATGTCTATGTCACCTAGGCCTCTCCCATCTGGATAGAGCTCAAGAATACATTGATGAGGCTGCTAAGGTACACTTAATTCACTTCAAGAACTTTCTTATTTTATAAAATCAAGTTTTTGTGATATCCTTTTTGTTTTTTCACAACTGCAGTTGGAACCCAATGTTGCTTCTGCTTTCCTGAAGGTAAGTTATTTGTTATCTACAGAACAATGATTGATAGTTTTATAAACAAAATACTGTCTTAATATTTCAGTTCAAGATCTATCTACAAAATAATGATCATAATGGAGCAATTACTCAAATTCAAACAATGCCAACATGCATTGACTTCACTCCAGAATTCCTTTCACTATCTGCCCATGAAGCCATTGCTTGTCGTGCTCTTCCTGTTGCAGTCAACTCTTTATCCCATCTTCTAACCTTCTTTCTCAATGGGAAACCAATGCCAACAACTGAAGTCATAGCTTTTAGAACCCTAATCACAATTCTCATTCAAGAACCTGGAAACGAGCCTGAAATCCTCAAATACATGAAAAAAGCCCATACCCGTTTCTCTGAACTTGGACCCGAATGTTTTTTTGGGACAGGTGAGGTTGGAAAAAGGGAACATAATTGGTTTGCTTTAAATTTGTGGAATCTTGGGTTGAAAAGTGGACAAGAAAAGAAGTATGAACTTTGTGGGGAGCTTTTTAAGATGTGTGCAGAATATTATGGGGTTAAAATAGATGGACAAACGGAGGGAAACAATTCAATGATATGTAAGTCGATGATTTTAGCAGTGTCTGCAATGTTAGCTGGTGAGAAGGAAAGTAAGAACACATTATCGGACAATGAAGTCAAACATGCCATTGAATTGCTGGAAAGATCCGGAAAGGTACTAATTGTGTTCTTAAATCTTTGACTAATTTGGTTTAGTAATTAAGGTTTAATTTTGGGGTTTCTTGAACAAGGAATCGAAGAAGATATGGGTAAAATAGTCATTTTAGAAGTTAAACAAGACACTTGATTAATTGTTTCTCTACTTTGATGCAGATACTAATGTCTGGATCAACAAAAACTCATCTAGATGATGATCAAAACACCACAATCGAACCACATTTCTACTTTATATATACATTAAGTGCATATGATCTTTACACAAGACTCAACAACACAGAATCAAAGCAACTTGTTTGTATAAAAAACTACGCAAACTCCAAACACTTCAACCCAAATTACCTCCTTCAAATTGCTCTAAATGCATCAGAAGGACCACGATCAAACCCTAAAATAGCCACATTTTGTCTCAAAACTTGTATCTCTTCCCTCCTCTCCTCTTTATCACCCGATTATCAAACAATTTCTCTCATTATCAGAAAACTAATCACCATCATCAGTGTTCATAAAGGCAATGTAGATTATGATGATGACGATGGTGGTGGTGGTGATGATGATGGGGTGTATGGGATTTATAAGAAAGCATTAAGGATTATGGTGGGGTTAAAGGCGGGAGAGTATCCGGTGGAGGAGGGGAAGTGGCTGGCGATGACAGCGTGGAATCGGGCAGCTTTGCCGGTGAAGTTGGGGCAGGTGGTGGAAGCGAAAAAGTGGATGGACATGGGGTTGGAATTGGCGGGCAGGGTTGCGGGCATGGATACTTACAAGGCTTGTATGGAGGATTTTGTTTCTGGGGTTGAAAAGAAAGTTCAGAGTCACGGGCATCTTTAGAGTAAAAAAAATATATTTTTAATAAGATTTTAATTCAAATGAATTTAGTTCTCTACAACAGTCGTTATAAACATTAATGAAGTTCCGTTTTTGTTTAAAAGAAATTTTGGATACTTAGTATTACTGAATTTTTTTTATTAAAATATTATGAAGAAATAAACAAATATAATTTAAACAAATAAGATTATCCAAGATCAGTTATTATGGATAAGGAAAGAATCTATCCGAAGACATGTGAGCCAATAAAAAGTGTACATGTGTATGGAAGCATATTTCAGGGAACCACAACTTTACGATAAAAAGATATTCAGCTTGACAAGTCACTGTGTGTGTGTGTCTCCCCTATTATAACCATTCGATCTGTGGCCTCTAAATTATAGATTCAAAACAAAGAGATCGATAAGTGAATTGACGAAAATGGCCACAGCAGCCTCCACCATGGCTAGCCACCTCAAGGGCAGTTTCACAACTTCTTTTACAAGAGACCTTGTTACCCCAAAGGGCATTTCTGGTACACCATTCAAAATCTTGCCTTCCTCTCGCAAATCTTCATTCACCATCAAGGCTGTTAAAACCGATAAGGTTTTCTTCTTTCATTCATAAATTTTCCTTTTTTTAAAGCTCCATATTAATATTTATATTGTTTGATCATCAGTAAAATATCCTAAATATCATCTAAAATGATTAAACAATGAAATCTTATGATGTAAAATCAATAAGGAACTAAAAAGGTTATTTTGATGTAATATGCAGCCCAATTACCAAGTGATCCAGCCCATTAACGGTGACCCATTCATTGGAAGCCTCGAGACACCAGTCACATCAAGCCCATTGATTGCATGGTACCTTTCAAACCTTCCGGGATACCGCACAGCTGTCAACCCACTGCTACGCGGTATCGAGGTCGGGCTAGCCCATGGGTTCTTTCTAGTGGGTCCATTTGTGAAAGCAGGCCCGCTAAGGAACACAGAGTATGCTGGTGCAGCTGGCTCACTAGCTGCTGGTGGGCTAGTGGTGATCTTAAGCATCTGCTTGACGATGTATGGGATGGCTTCGTTTAAAGAGGGTGAGCCATCCATTGCGCCATCATTGACTTTGACCGGGAGGAAGAAGGAGCCGGATCAACTTCAAACAGCTGACGGTTGGGCCAAGTTTACTGGTGGGTTCTTCTTTGGTGGGATCTCGGGTGTCATTTGGGCTTTTTATCTTCTTTATGTACTTGACCTTCCTTACTATGTTAAGTAAGTGAAAGTTTGGATGGCTAAATATGGGAAGTTGTATATTAATGGATGTGATGATATTTTGAAGGCTATTGTTTTATGATGTTTTGTATATTTGAACTTTGTTTGAAATTTTTGCATTAACACAACGTGTAAAAAGCGGTTAAGACAATACTATCTTATTAAAATGAAATGCACCTTCTCCAAATGTGTTCGTACTTTGTATTGTGATCCTAATTTGATTAATTTAACACTTGAAAAGTTAAAATAACATGTAAGAAAAGATAAACTCCATCTCTCATCATTTTCGATCAACCTAAGGAAAGTAAATCATAATATATTTAGAGAAAGGAGAGATTTCTTGAACTCAACATTGGAAATCATAAACATAAAAAGCGAAATCAAAAACATAAAGAACAAAATAGTCTATAAAATAACAGTTAACATCATTAGATAAAGAGTTTAAAATGTTACATTTATTAATATGCCATCATGCATCATCGAAATGTGCAACACCCAAACCTGAAGTTGCCACTCTAAAGCTCTCATCAAAGATGAGGATAATATTTGACCAACTGACTAGTAATATAGAACGAAAGACATCAATAAATATAGAAACAACATTGTCATTAAATAAGTTGATAACAACACCATGTATAAGAAATTTGAACATAATCAATATGACTATTATGATATGATAATTGTAAATTTCTTGATGATATTATTAGTATATCCCGCATCAATACAATTCAATAAACATTTATATATGTTGGAGTCTCTTTTGTTTCCATAATCCCCATAAGGGTTCTTTTGGAAAGATAAATTTGGACTTTACATATATTCTATATGATATCGAGACCACGTCCCAAATTCTTGTGGCTCAATGTATCATTGTCTATCTTCATCGAGTCTTAAACTTTGTTGGAGAGTGTTAGTATATAATAAAATGCGATCTCGTTTCCAACTATAGGTATCATGGTTTAGGATTGAAAGAAATTGTGATTTCAATTCCCATCGTAGGATATATAATCATGGTTTTTAAATAAATTCTTTGCTAAACCTAAATTTACTTTTTCTTATGTTATAGCAAAGAAAAGAAAAAGAAGAGGAAAGAAAATAAAGAGAGAAATAAAAAGAAAGAAAAAAATATATTTTATGTTTCTTAGAGAAAAATGAAAGTCTAATTAACCCTTTTTTTTTTTTTTTCTCCAAATCCTTCCTAACCGGAAGGAAAACTAAGATCATTCTATTCTATTTCTTTTCATTTTCTTTCATACACCACTTTTTAAAATTTTTCTTTTTACTTATATTTTTTTTTCCTTTGTTGAACCTGAGAGTATTGTATAAATAACAAAAAAATATTCAAGATTCACATATGGTCAAAAAATAATTTTGGCTCAATATTAAAAGAAATAATGATTTTATTTCATAAAACTATAGGATATATAACCAAAATTTTCTTATTCTTTAGGGTTTAGATCATTTTTGGTCACTTAAGTTTTAGTTTTATGCTCTTTGATCACTTAACTTTTTTTAAGTTTTAGAAGATTATTAAACTTTTGATTTTGTGCTCATTTAGTTACTTAACGTTTGGTTTGGTCACATTAAGTCAACTAACTTTTAAAATTGTGCTCATTTAATCACTAAACTTTTATTTTTTTTAAAAGTTTAGTGACTAAACGAACACAATTTTAAAAGTTAGGTGACTAAATGAGTACAAATCTAAAAGTTAAGTGACCAAAACAAAAATTAAGTGACTAATGAGTACAAAATCAAAAGTTTGATGATTTTTTATAACTTAAAAACAGTAAAGTGACCAAATAAGTATAAAATCAAAAATTAAATGACCAAAAATGATCTAAACCCTTTTCTTTAAACTTAAAGTTACATTACATAATAAAAAATAGTAAAGATTTTTCATATAATAAGAAAAGAAATTTCAAAATAATAATAGAATGATCATATATATGTTAAATCATAAGATTGTAAAGAATGAGAACCAATGAGGCTCTATCTTTATTTAATGATTCAAAAATGAACACAACGGCCACCTTTTATTCCCTTTGGATGCTATCTATCATCTTTGCTCACTCGCGCCAAACCCATCGAAGAAAATGGCTGCCATTCTTCACATCACATCTCTTCAATCCAACACTCCCTCGTTCCTCCTCCATTCCCTCACACCATCTCCGCCCTCCCTCCGCTACAGCTCCCTCAAATCGAAGGGTCACATCCTCTTCCAAAGAAGAAAGAGATCGATAGCCTTCACTTGCCAATCCATTAGCGATGACGGCGATGATGTAAGTTTCGTTTTTCTCAATCATGAAACTGTTTGATTTTATTTTTAATTTTTCTGATTCAATGAATATGTTCAATTAGGGTTATTTGTTGGACGCTCCTGTTTCCGCTGGAGATGGCTTCTCTTTTAGCGGAGGTTCGAATTTACTTCTCCATGTGTAAAATTTTGTAATCCGTTTCTCAAATATAGCGTTGAGTAGTATTTGTTTTGAACAGGGAAGTATTCTGATGGACCTAATCCAGCTGATGAGTGGTTTAAGACAGGAAAATATGTGAGTTTCTACTGTATGAAAATCATTTGCTTACTTTGATCTTCAAGTATCAAATTGAAACCCTAACTTAACAGTTTTTCTTCTTCAGATGAAAGCACATCCTGTTTATGGCACCGGTGAAAAGGCCAAGGATCCAATTTTTGGTTTGACAATGGGTGGCAATTCTCAAACCTCAACAGATCTCTTCAGGTACTCCTTAAAGTATTGTTCCATAACAGCAATCCATCCATCCATCATATGAGAATTGCAAGAATTTCCATTATTTTGTATGATCAATTCCTACATTTCATTGAAGTAAACATTTTTTCATTAAACTTCAAGTCAATTCAAACATCACAATCTTCATAGGATGGAGGATTGAAAGTGATAGTAGGGTAGGCGATTGTAAAGCAGTAATTGAAGGTGGACTATTTGCAGGCCTTACCGATTGAAAAATGCTCTCTATATATAATTTTTGCACTAGATGGTTTTGCGTTGAAAGTGGAAATGCTGATAAACCTTCAGTTGTGCTAATTCATGGATTTCCTTCACAAGTGAGTTCTATTTGCCCTTTTAATTTATCAAGAATTTGTTTGATCAAATTTCAAATTTCAAATATATTTCATCTGGTCTCTTTTAGGCTTATTCATATCGCAAGGTACTGCCATTGCTATCCAAGGATTATCATACCATAGCTTTTGACTGGTTGGGTGAGGCATTACATATTTACATCTTATTTTGCTTAAATTACTTATATGCCCCTAGTCTTGATGTTATCTTTTTTGCTCTTACAGGCTTCGGATATTCAGATAAGCCTCAACCCAAATATGGATTTGATTACACCTTAGATGGTAAATTACCGATAACTCCCTTCTCATTCATGTTTGCAGTTTTAATTTAAAGACATAAAAGGGTATACAACATTTCAAATCACACTTTATTTTGTTGTATGCAGAATTCGTGTCAGCTTTGGGATCTGTTATTGATGAACTTGGAGTCAACAAGGTTTCACTCGTTGTTCAGGTATATTTTTTTGTACCCATTTTTAACTTCTGTATCTATCAGACAAAAGATTTAAGTGGTGACAACTGAAAACCATCATTTTAAACTTTTCAGGGGTATTTTGCACCAATTGTTGTTAAATATGCAAGCAAACATCAAGAGAAGTTGAATGATCTCATACTGCTTAATCCTCCTGTAAGCACTTTTCCAACTTTCCCCACAGAATTTA